AGACACACAGAGAGAGAGAGAGAGAGAGAGAGAGAGAGAGAGAGAGAGAGAGAGAGAGAGAGAGAGAGAGAGAGATGATCTGGGCTGGTCCTGGCCTATTCCTTAGAGAGAGAGAGAGAGAGAGAGAGAGAGAGAGAGAGAGATGATCTGGGCTGGTCCTGGCCTATTCCTTGAGAATGGCAATATGGTTGTGTATAGGTAGCAGGATAGAGAAAACAATAAACAGCAAGAAAGAAACAACCAGGCAAGAGCAGGGAGGCAACGCATAGGCTGGAAGGCACAGGGGGAGGCGGGAAGCCAGACAGCACACAAGGTATGGAGGGTAAGCCGAGGCGACAAGGCATACGATCACGGACAGCAAACAAAGGACAAAGGCTGGAGTGAGGCGACAAGGCATAGGATGACAAACAGCAGCGAAGGATAAGGCTGAAGGGCAAGGAGGAGGCGGGAGGGCAGACAACACACAAGTTACTGGGCAGACAGCACACAAGTTACTAAGGAAAAGACATGGGGCGACGAGGCATAGGATGTCAGAGGACCAAGGCCGGATGGAAAAGAGGAGGCGGGAGGGCAGACGACACACAAGTACATCAAGCAGACGGCGCATGAGCACACCAAACAGACCAAATAGATGACACACAAGCACGCCAAACGATCCAAGCAGGCGAGATACAAGCACACCAAAAACGTAAAGAAATACTAGTCCAAAAAACTTCAAAGACTGAAGAAAATAAAACTGGTCATAGATTGTTTTGTTGGAGTTGCACCGATGGATCAGAAGGCTGAACCCTTGACAATCTGTTGGAATCTCCGTATTGATGGTTTGGGTCATGAACCCTCTTGACCCTTGTTAAAGGCAGACTGTCCCCAAATGGAACACAGCAGCGGGTGACAACCTGAGGAAGCTCCAGGCAATGTTGCAACACGGCTGCTGAACGCCAACGATGACTGCAAGGAAGGACATGGCAAGTGGATGAGCAGCACAGCAACTGTGCAGTGACGCGCAAGGCAACACAAGCAAGGCAGTCAAATGGCATGGCACACAAGCGAAGGACACAGAAGTAAAGGCACGCGGATGGGCAGCAAGGTAGCAGTGCAGCGAAGCACAAGGCAACACCAACACCGCAGCCACACCACAAAGAACACAACAGCTTACAAAAAACCACATGCAAAGCAAGTGGGATGGCCAGCAAGGCAGCGGCGGAGTGCAGACGAGGCAGTCCACACATCCAACACGGAGCAAAGCGGCACCCTGCAGATGCCTTGAGAAATTTGCCAAATAAAAGCATAAAATATAGCTAATTCTATCACACCGTAAATAGGTTAAACACCTTGGCTGCCAGCTGTCCGATTGGGAGACGTCTCCCCCGGACGTCTCCGGGAGACGGTCAGGGGGTAGTTGCCCAGAAGATCGGACAATGGCTCTTTTGCCAAAAAAAAAAAAAAAAGGGGGGGGGGGGTCTGCGCACCACTAGGGGAACCCCCCAAAAAAATTCATGTTGTTCTGAGCAAAGGCGAAAAAAAAATTCTGATACGGTGTGCGAGGTGTGATGATGGGGTGTTGGGGGGGGGAAGGGGTGAGGAGGAGTCTGAGGAGTAGTAGTAGTCTGAGGAGGAGGAGGAGGAGGAGGGTAATGGGGCGGAGGATGACGACGATGAGGACGAGGAGGATGAGAAAGAAGAGGAGGAGGAGGAGAAGGAGGATGGGGAAGAAGAAGAAGAAGAGGACAAGGACGAGGAGGAGGAGGAGGAGGAGGGTAATGGGGCGGAGGATGACGACGATGAGGACGAGGAGGATGAGAAAGAAGAGGAGGAGGAGGAGAAGGAGGATGGGGAAGAAGAAGAAGAAGAGGACAAGGACGAGGAGGAGGAGGAGGAGGACGATGGGCAGTGGGCAGAACCGCCAACATCATCGCGAGGTGACCTTGACCACCCCGAAGTTTTTTTTTTTTCCAACTCGGTCAATCAATCAATCAGTCGGAACCACGTTTTGGCATAGGCACGAGCAGCCTCTCGGACGGGCCAGCACTATATAATGCTGAACTGCCCTGCAGGCTGCAGGCAGTTTCTAGGCACTTCACGTGCAGAAGGCAGGCGGTAGTCTTCAGGACTTGGCAGCGGCACTCTAGTGTAGTAGTAGCGACAGCAGTATTCAGCGCTGGGCGTTAGTAGGAGAGAGAGAGAGAGATGGTTGGCGGAGGCCAGGGATACTCACCTGTGGCGCCATAGCTCCAGCTTCGTCTTCGATGTACCTGCAGCAAGATGCCACCTTCACAGGTTAGTATCGGAGAGCGAGAGAGAGAGAGAGAGAGAGAGAGAGAGAGAGAGAGACTGAGTTCTTCTTCTTCCTCCTCTAAGTCCACCATCTTTTCCTCACCCTCTCGCCCCCTGACTTCTCTGCATCTACCAGCTATGAGAGAGAGAGAGAGAGAGAGAGAGAGAGAGAGAGAGAGAGATGGGCGACATTGGGATTTGACGACATTGGGATTTGACGACATTGGGGTTCAGACTCAGCATCGGGATTCAGACCTTTGGTGAGGGAGTACTTGGGACTGTATCGAAGACTTGGAGTTGACGACATTTCCATCTCCCCCCTCCCCTTCGTCTAATCCCCCTCTTCTTCGTCTGTGTATGATCAGGGACTGACGCATTCTTCCTGTGTGCGCGTCAGCCCCCTTCACACCATGAGATGATGATGATGCATGTTTGGTCTGCATGGCAGCTCGATTGATCGGATCATTGGTATTCAAGCCTTCCGTTGTGCAATCTTGTATCTGGCGAGAAAGATCGGTTCTTGGTCTGGTCTGCACCGTTATGGTATGCAACAGTTTGGTATCGGAGCGGATCTTTTTCATCAAGATCCGCCCAATCAAGTAGTCAGCTCGCTTGGTCTATTGATTGATTGATTGATTGATATTGATTGATTGATTGATTGATTGATTGATCGTCAAAATCTCTGCAGATCTTTTTTTTTCTTTTTTCTTTTTCTTCACAACTTCGGGTATTAGCATTTCGTTTCATCTGAAAATTTCTGATATTTGCATTTCGTTTTCACGCAACAAAGATCCTAAAATTTCTGATAAAAACGTTTCGTTTTATCTGAAAAGTTTCAATAGTCGCACCTCGTTTTTTTACGAAACAAATATCCGAAAATTTCTGATAACAGTGATAAGTAGCATTTCGTTTTATCTGAAATTTTCTAATATTTGCATTTCGTTTTCACGCAACAAATATCCGAAAATTTCTGATAATAACATTCCGTTTTCATCTGAAAAGTTTTGATATTTGCACTTCGTCTCTTTTATGTAACAAACATCCGAACATTTCTGATGGTAGCATTTCGTTTTTTTTTATATTAATATCCGAAAATTTCTGATGTGAGCATCTCGTTTTCTATTTCGTAAAAAGTTGGTCTGTGAAAACCGAAATTTTGCGAAGCCTATCAGCATTTCGTTGCTAGGCACAATAGGAGATTGTCACATTCTCGGAAACTGAATTTATTTATTTTTTTACTGAAAATTGA